TACACACTTACAACACCTCAATAAGAACTTTTCTTTTAAGTAGAATGTTTTGTGGTTATAACTCACTTGCTGGCCATACAGTGATTTCTTATGTTAGTGGTTGATGACTCAAAGACATTTGGTGGTAAAGCAAGGTAGAACAGTCTGTTACAGTGACTACCCATTTCATATTTACAGATTTCCTGATTCAACTGAAGAAAATCTTCTGGCATATCATATGAACCACTAACATAGTGGTTCATTTTAAAGAAAGCATTGACCTTTTCTTTTTCTTCATCTCTTACCTTTAAGAAATACAAAATAATGTACTGCATACTAAACTACTTGTTAATTTTTCCTTTATCTTAAATAAATTGAGCACCCACTAAAACACATTATTATAATGAAAAGCAAATCATTCTGCAAAAATGACTTTTTTTACAAAAAAGTTGTGCAAGACAAAATTAAACCAATTAACACAGGAAAATTTCACTTTAATCTCAAAGATGATATGAACACATGAATAAATTTAACGTTGAAAAATAATTAAGTCATGATGATTTCCCACTATCAAATAGAAATTACCTTTAAATAAGGCTCAGATTTATTCCTGATGTCATGAACAGTTAGCTTGGAACGTGCATAACCTACAAAAATTGTTTTCTTTGGAATCAGACCATCTCGATAGAGTGACCTTATAAAATAAAACAAATTTAGTGTACAGATTAAAACATGTGATTATTACAATCGTTTAAAAAATTTTTGCATGCAGATTTCAAATTATCTTAATATGCTATTTAATAGTTATAAAGTATAAAATTCTAATGTTCAAGAATGCAAGGTTAAATATTGTACAGACAGTGTTATTATTCAACTAAACAAAATTTGTGAAAAGTTGGACATTATTAATAGTACTTCTATTGTAGAAGTGCAAAGAACTACTATCAAGAATGAATTTTCACTCAATATTTTAACAACATTGTAATATATGAGTACAACTAAGCTGGTTATCTTTACCTATTTTACTCTGACTGTTGTGAAGAGGTATTTCTATTAATACTAAATTGTCCCTCACTACATGAATATATTTTATATAAAATCACAGACACACACACACTTGAAAATGTTCTTGAAGTTATGTATGTGTCAAAGCAAAGCTTCCCATTATATTAACTTATCTTATTTGTTGTTTTAAAATACTCAAAATATATCATATACATGTATTTGTTTACACCTATCAGTTGATTAATTCTAATAAGTTAATCAGTTCTACTAGATCACAGTCCATAACCTTTTACTTCAAATATGGTATTTACTTGTCTTATAGAGTCTAAAGTAAATATCTGAATGTTATTGATATATTATTTACTCATACTTAAACTTTGCAAAACAATTAAACTTACCACAATGTTGGATAGATCTTTTTCTTGGCAAGGTCTCCCTATATAAAGGTAAACATCATATTTCTTATAGAAAATACTAAAACAACTACATATTTTTCAAAAACAAAACAACCAGTAATCAAAATGTATCATTAAAAACCTCTGAAATACTTATTAACATGACCGAGTGCTATGTGTATAGCATTGTAGCTTTTGCACTCCAAGTTCCTTGCATGTGAAGTTTTCCTTTTTGTTTATCAAATGTCCAACTTTCTCAATAGTTTATGCATTGTGAAATTTGTCAGTTTATAGTATACATTGACAAAGACCTTTCACCTATTTATCACTGATTAAGTGTTAATGTTTGCTTTAACTTTTTAATCCTTTGACTGTGGCTGCTTTAAACATGGAATTTTTGCATGCTGTACATTGTATACAGCACTCCAATTCCGACATTACTAACATCACAATCCAGTATGTATGGCAGTGAGGGATTTGGAAGCTTTAACAGTGGAGCTGAGGCCAATTTTTCTTTCAATGTCTTGAAAGCATGCTGGCAAGAAACTGTCCATTCGAACTTCTGGCCTTTTTTCTTCAAATCATGTAGTGGAGCAGCTACAGTTGCAATGTCCTTCACAAACTTCCGGTAATAAGTACAGAGTCCCAAGAAACTTCTTAACTCTCCCACATTATCTGGTGTTGGCCACTCATGCACTGCTTTCACCTTGTCAGGATCAGTTCACACACCATGCTCACTTACAATGTGACCCAAGTAAAGCATCTCTTTCTGGAACAAGTGGCATTTCTTAGGATGGAGTTTGAGGTTTGCTGCTTTCAAATGCTTGAATACTTTCTCTAGCCGGGACATTTCCTCATCAAACGTTGTTGCAAACACTATGACATCATCCAACTGTGTGATGCCATTCGGGCTTAGCAATGCTCCAGCAACATTTGAGAGGCTGATGGAAAGAGTACTGGAAGGCCTACAATGGAGGATAGCCCTAGTGTACCAATTGCCAAAGACCTTGGCCATAACCAAATGCAGTCTTAAGTTTATCTGCTTCAGCCATTTTCACTTGATGGAAACCCGACTTTAAGTCCAGAGTTGAAAACCACCTGGCTCCACTTAGGGTATCAAGTGTATCATCAATTCTTGGCAGTGGGTATGAGTCTATTTTGGTTATAATGTTAAGAGCCCTGAAGTCCACACAGCAACGTTGGGTCCCATCTTTCTTCTGGACTAACACGACGGGAGCTGTCCAGGGACTATCTGATTTCTCAAATATCTCTTCCTTAATTAGGCCATCCATGACCTTCTCCATCTCTTGTAGCTTTGCCGGAGCTATTCTCCTTGGAGGTATCTTTATTGGACAGTGATTGCCTGTGTTTATTCTGTGCACCACAAGGTCTGTTCAGCCAAGGTCATGATCTCCTTTTGAAAAGACGTCTGCATAATTTGCCAAGAGTTCCCTTACGTGAAGAGCCTGTGATGATGACAAATGGATTATGCTCTTCTTATAGAGGTCAGTTAAATGTTCTGGGAGAGGATGTCCTTTCTTTATGGTTGTATTTCTTGTCTTAACATTCACTGGCTTTACCTCCTGGCACACACCAAACAATACCCCTTCCTTAAGTGTCTGCTCATATTTATAGAAATTAGCCACTGTTATGGGTACTACTTTTGCTGGCCTAGATTGGTCCAGATGCTTCCACAAGCATTGGGCTTCCTTGGGGATGTTCTTTTATTCTACCCCAAATTATCTTCTCTAATATAGGGGATATTGTGGTTGACTTAAGTACTGTGACATGC